ATATAAAATAATATATATAAAATAAATAAATATATATATTATATATAATTATATAATTATATATATAAATAATAATATATTTATATATATATAAATAAAAATATATATATATAAATAAAAATAAATATATATATAAATATATATAAAATAAAAGAGTGAGTTGAACACACAATAATGCATTTTGTATTTTTATATATATATATACAAAAATACAAAATGCATTATTGTGTGTTCAACTCACTCTTTTATTTTTCCATAAATCTGTGCAAGCGAATAAAATATTTCACGAGCTGTGGTACATCAGCTCTTCAAATTGTACGCACTGGATTTTATTCGAACGTTAGCTAGGCTATTGATAAAATTTCAATCTCATAAATAAAATGTATTTGATCGCGTAACGCAACGTATCTGAATTTTATCGGGTTGTATTTTTAGGTAAATTAAGGGTTCCTTTTGAAACCGATACGAATTGATTTCACCTAATAATTTAAATACGAGGTCAACGTTAATTCCGATTTCGTGGATTCTCTGATACTCGTGTGAGAATATAAATATAAAATATGAAAGAAGAAGCACAGATTTTCCGTGGTTATTGCAAATACCAAATTCATCGCGGAATATTCGTTTGATTCGAGCCAAATAAAAATTCATGCGAAAAATTCATCGCCAAATTATAGTTTTATTGTTCGACCCACTTTTATATTTGCCAGCGCCTACAATTTAGGCTGTACATACTCACTGTACGCGAGACAATCACGAGAGTGCACGATCGAACAAAATCACGTGCTGTATAGTGAAAAATAACAATTGCTCCGCTGAAGCTGTCACTCACGTTTCCAACGTAAAGATGGTAGCTGATGTACTGGATCGTGACAATCAAATGCGTTAGAAAAATCGACAGGATGCACAGCGTGTCGCTGAAATCATGTTCGGGCGAGAAAAGCAGTGACAACTAGAAGCATATATGCAATTATAACAATCATATTCGGAGAATAGCAACAGAAGCTTGCCGTCAACGTTTCTTGTATATTTCTATGACGTGATTAACCCTTAATGCTATAATTTATACTATAATAATACTATAATTTATACTGTAATTTTACTATTATATAAATTTCTTCTAAATAATAACAAGATCTGATTCTCCCGTTATGAAAATCTAGGAATGGAATTAAGTGAAAACACGGGAGAAATAAAAATTGCCTTGTAAAACGAAGAACAGAAATCATAGAGATAACATAAAAAGAAATCATAGTGAAATCATAGTGAAATCATAATGAAGTCATAGACCCACTCTAATCAGAAATGTTCTGTGGATTCGAAATAATTAATAATTGATGAAGCTCGAAACCAGTGAATTTAGGAACGGGATCGTTAGGTTAACCAGTCGGCTGTGTTCGACGAGTACACTTGCCACAGCTAATTGCATAAATTAACAACGAATTTACAATTTTCTAAAAGCTGAATTTAGCGAAATTCGGCGAAATTTAATCCTCGTCTGCGAAATGTAAGATTTGAAAACTGCAATGCACAACAGTCTTGATCGCGAAGAAGGAACAACGGAAGAAGATACAACATTGCGGCTAAAAATGAAGTGAAATTATTGAAGAAAAAACCCAAAACGTTTTAATAATACTCAATTTGAATTGAAATAGAATAAGATGCGAACCGAGTAAACGTTGCACAACCGTGACGAAAGTGAAAAAGAGAAAGAAGCGATTCCGCGCACAAAAAGTGCAACACAAACGCGAAGTTAAATACACTTTCAGTAGACACTACTATAATCGGAATATGGCTTTTTCACTTTCATTGTTTCACTATCATCGATCGGCACAAAACTACGTGTCACAAAGTCCAAATATCGAAACGCGATAGCAGAGTGTACGCGTTCGAATTTCGAGCCGCAGATTTGTGCAGCGAGCAAAGGAACACTAATTTTAACACTAATTTTAACACCGGATTTGCGGAGCTGTTTTATACAAATTTATAAAAGTAACGACGAGACATTTGTTCTTATTTTTGACGCGTGTTACGGCGATATTTGCTGCGAGTAACGCGTATATGGACCGAATAACTCGGAGATGCATCTTTTCGATCCGAATAACCGCCAATTAAAAAACCTAATGACCGGTCATTTTTGCGGATTCTGTAAACCTAGTGTCAACAATGTCCCAAATAACAAAAACAGAAACCGCGCCTGTTTATTCTCGCGCGATGTTCACAAAAATATATCACATACAAATCTAGAGAGCTCAAACGCGAACAAAAAGCGTAGAAAAACTCCGAAAAACCCCCGAAAAACCGAAGGAAAAATCCCTTGACGATGCGCCGCATGAACGCGGCGCTGAATAAATTAAACGAAAGAATGAAAAAGAAAGCAAAGAATGCGCGTGAGAACGATGCGATTAGAACGCGAAAGCGTCGTTCTGCACTTTCAGTTGAACTTCGCACGAGCGTTCGCTTCTTCGAATGTCGAAAAATCGGAAAAACACGATGATTTTTTCTTGATGAAAAAGAAAATCGAAACTGCGAGAACACCAAAAACGATGACTATAGTTCGAACACTTTCGAGAAACATTCGAATCCGTCGCACGTTGTTCACACCGTCAGCTTCCGCGGCGACGCGGCGTTTCCACTTTCACAAAAGAATTCGAACGTGTTCGCACGTTCCGGTCGCCGTGAATTCGACATTTCGGGCCCGCCGTTGTGCCTTCGACATTTTATTTCGCGGATACTCGACGCGCAAATTCGATTTACGATTATCGGCGGGGCACTGCGCGCGGACGAACGAGACAACGGCGAGAGCACAGCCGGAGCCGGACGAAGCTTCCACGCGTCGATCTAGAGTTACCTCGGAGAGCAAGCCGGCCAGCGTCAGCAGATAGAAGATGAGCTTCCGGGCGATCTGAAGCCGCGGATAGGCGGTGGGCCATAGGCCCATCAGCAGGAACAGCCGTTTGTGGAGCGTGGTGTCGGGACCGTTCACGAACATCGTCGTGGCACGTCGGGATCGCGACTGCGGCACGATCGATTTGCCAGCGTTTTTATATCGTCGCTCGCCCCCTTTCTTTTTTCTTTCTCTTTTCTATTGAATTCACGGCG